ACACAAAGTAACTCCACCAGAGTGCCTATTTTGGGTCACTTTTACCGGTCCAAGCCCGGATAAAGGAGCAGGGTTGGAATTGTGACATAAAAAAAACAATAATTGCTAAAATAAATTAAATTTGTAGCTCTAAATAAATTCTAAATGCATTTAGGACGTTTTTTACTCACTTTATGTCTCTTCCACGATGTTATTTCTCTCTCCAACAACGTAGGTTACAATTATATTAGCATGACCAATTATGCAAATTAGCGACTTCTTGCAACTTTTAGGACAGCCAATAGCGATTTTCCTTACTGAGGAGTTGGCAACACTGATACTCACTTTAGAAACTGAACAACAGGTTCCTTATTGTCTACAACTAGTGAACCTGAAAAAAAGGTCTCCGCCTGTAACTCTAACTGGTAACTCAGCTAACCACCCCCAAAGGAAAATATACTTTTAGGTCTTAATAATTAATTTAAACAGTAAAAATATATCAGCGGTCACTACTTATTCAGCGTTTCACTATTTCTTCACACTCTTAATTATTCCTTACCTTTACTCATAGACCTCTGGTTATAATACAACCATATGTTCTCAATTTGTTTGAAAAAAAGAGAAAGAAACCAAATTAAGCAAAATTGTTTTTAGGTACAGAAAGCAACCAAAAAGGGTTTGCTGAAGGCTAATTTGCTGACTTTATCTAGCAAAAATTTAATTTGTATTTTTTTTTAATGTGAATTATTGGTTCAAATATATTTTGCGGTTTGGGAATTTTTTCAGATTTTGAAAGTTTGAGAACAACTACAGTTTTTACTAACCAGCAAATTATCTGTATTTCTTTTGTAAAGCTGCTGTAAAGCTGTATCATTAGTTTGCTCTCAAGTTTTCATTTTTGGGGAATAAGCCTCAAGTGGCCATTTGAAGAACTGCAGGTTTTTACACCTTGACATCAGTTTTGTTTTTCAATCGAGGATGTTGTGTTGTATGAGCTAAATGTAATTTCACAATTAAGATTCAACCCAAGAACTCCTTGATGCAAGCAGCCATTCTCCAAAAATGATGAGGTCGTTTAATCTTACATTTAATTGACAATTTGTGTTGAGCGGTCTTATTAAACTGGGTTTAAGACTTCTTTAACAGAAAAGATGGCGTGCTTTTTCACCAAGGTCGTCACACTGTATTTCGAGGCCAGTGAATGTGGCCGAATGCGCTGTCCGTGCATAAAATGCTGGTCATCTAGTGACAGTGTGTTGATGGTTATTGAGGTTGCTAAAGTGGTACTCAAGACAGATTTGCTCATGAATGCTGTCACTGCAGCCACAAATACTCATTTTTATGTCCTCTCCCTCTCTCCTCTGCGCAAGTGTCTAACTTTTTTTTTAATAGCTTTTCCCATCTGGCTCACTCTAAATGTTGCAAATGATCCCTTCTTGTTAAAATTTGTTTCCTTTGCATTCTCTCACGCTCTCTCTCTCTCTTTTTTCCACCTGCTTCTTCCATCTCACTTCCTCCCTGCTGCTCTGGCCTATCGCTCCATATTTTCTCATGCCATCCTCTTTGCTATCTTTCTCACTGTCTGCTTCCCACACTCCCATTGCCTCCCGCCTTCTCGCCTTCTTTCTCTCCCTTCCTCTTGCTGGTTGCTTGATTCATTTTATTGTCTGCTCCCTGCAGGTATACCCTCGGAAGAGCACCCCTGCTGTGGACAGGCTATGTGTGGGCGTTCCTGCCGCAGAGGTGAGCCAGATGCTGCTGTATCACACAAGCACCTTCTCAAGTAGATTGTCTGTTTGCACTTCTCTGTGTCGTGGGGCTTTTTTTTTAACAATCGTACTTTTGATTACTTCGCAAAAATCAGTTTCTGCAGAAAATAAAATATGAATGATATGAATTGCCCGACGGTACTGACTCACGAGAGCACGAGGGCATTGAGTTGGGCGATTGCACTGACAGTGCGAGTGTATTTCTTGACAGTTTGAGAGTGTTTGGCTCAGTGTTTTCTCAGAGTCAAATCAAAATATCTTCCACACTTCTCAAAGAAGACATTAGTAGGAACAGTGATCTCCTTATCAGGCTTGTTTATGTAGTCATACTACCGCTAAGCATGTCTCTACTAAAGATACAAGCAGGAAAGAAATGGGCGTTGTGTAGCAGCAGCATGTGGACTCAGTGATTGTTGAGTTCTGTGCACTTGGCAGAAGGAAACCAAACAGGCCAACGCCACGGAGGGAACTGGACAACTTATCTGTGTAAAACTCATTATATCATGTGGGATATCACACACACACACTCACTGTCACACGCAGCGTAGCGCTAGAAGCTTGATTTAAACATAATCTCAAATGCTGACAGGCTTTCGTGCTCGGCGGGCTTTCCGTTAGTATCCTATCCTCCCTTCCAATGTTGACTCAAAGCCCAATGTAAATGCCAGTGGAATATTGTGATTCACGGGGCTCTGCTGATCACACACTGCATTTCCATGCATTATTTACATCAAGCTTAGCTCTCTGTGCATTTGCAAGCACAGGTCACAAACAAGCAGGGATCAATGAATGACAGAAATCAAATATTTATGTCCGAGCCAGAGCACCTAAGGCGAGTCACATGACCGCGGGGCTCTGCGGGGACAACTTCCTGCCACATGCCCTCTAGAGGGAAGTAAAATCAGCAGCATCAGGGGAAAAAAAAACAGAGAAAGAGAGGGTGGTGTTTGTTGTAGCAATTTACCGAGTGAGGAAGAAATGCTTTTGGGAATGTTTTTTTGTTTAGTTTTTTTAGTATTTGTTCCTGTGCGCCTGCCGTGTTGATTTACAGTCTTGTTGTTTTGTTTGCACACAGAATATATCAATTTGTTATTTTGCTAAACATCGAAGCAGTCGAGCATGCAATATAAACTGCAGTCCCAGTTACACGCAGCAGACGAGTATTTGCACAGTCTATAGGTAAACTTCATTAAATGTGTTAATGAGTGGTATTTATTATAAAAACCTGCGTGCTGAAAACTGGAAATGTCATCCCAGGCCGGTTTCCCCTGCCTGTTTTTCAATGACACCGTAAAATACTGTTTTCCCTAACGGACGCCTCCGCTCATTGTCCCCGCCAGTGTTTCGGCTTGCTGGGAATCAACGGAGCTGGAAAAACCACCACGTTCAAGATGCTGACAGGAGACATCCCAGTCTCCAGTGGAGAGGCCTTCCTAAATGGATACAGGTGAGGCCCTAACTCCCACTAGTGCACCAAGTACCTCATCATAATTAGCCACCCAGGAAGGCTGCTCAGATGGGGATCGAGCTGTAGTTTTTTTATAGCTCACATCCTGTTCCACAGCTACATTCATTCTCTGTAATACCGCTTTCTATTTTTCCATCTCCAGCACTCTCACTGTCTTTGTTTTTCCCAGCTATGCAGTTCCACTATCTGTTATACATTTGGCTGTCTCGTCTCTCCTTCAGCTTTGGTTTTCTCTCCTTACTCTGAGATTCTCAGAAATGCTGAAGACTCGGCTCTCGCCTTTTTTCCCCTCCTTACCTCTTGTACAGCTTACACATATTTCATTCCTTTTCATATCCTCACCCTGCACCCTGCTCTGTTTTTTTTTTTGTCTCAGCCTTGCAATATCAGTCATAAGAAATCTTTGTACATGCCAAAAACCAAAAAAATAAAAAATACCCTGACACTCGAGCACTTGAGAGAAAGAAAGTTTGCTCTTCCTTATTTTTAGGAACAAACAACCGTGTTCCGTTGCCTTGGCGCGCATCTCTTAAGGCGGCACGGCAGAGTGCGGTTGAGCCGCGGCTGTTCATTCGCACGTCTTGCAATTGACTTTGTGTTCAACGAAAAACAAGCGGCGAACAGAGCATCGCTTTGCTCAGCAGTGTTTATGTTGATTAATGTAGGTACAAAGAGATCAGAGAAAAATCCGAGACCTTTAGGGGGAACGAAAACTAAAAAGAAAAGAAAAAACAGATGTGATTACACCCACTCTTCTGTTTTCAGCTCATTATGCTTTCTGTGCATTGGCAAGAACGATTAGTGGAAGAGAAAAGGCAGCTTCTCTTAAATGGAAGTTTATGCTCTCATGGCAGTCGTCCCTCTTGTCTGCATTTGTGGGCTCGCAGAAAATAGCAATGCCTACATTTAGCATGCTTTTACTGTTCACGAAAAGCTAGCATGCTAACCGCAGCAGGTGGCTCATTAGCTGCCATTATTTGATGAAAGCCAAGAAGGAAGTGGATTACCTCAGTTACCACAGAGACGCTAATGCACATCATCACATTTATAAGTACATATTTGGGCTAATTAACCCCTCTTGTTGGAATCCTCAGTCTTCAAAGATCATCCAGAGTTTAGAGGTTTTAGTCTCTACACTAAGCTAACAGCAGTGTAGTCTGTGCAAACCCAGTGCCAAAATTGTTGAGATGATGCATAATATGTAAATAACAACAGAATACAATGATTTGGAAATCCCATAAGCCAAAATTCTATTCAAAATAGAAAACATATCAAATGTTTAAACTGAGAAAATAAAGTGAAAGCTCCTGACTGCAGGCCAGTTCTGCACTTGGACTCTTCTACTCCAAAGTCATGTTGTTGCAGTATGTGGTTTAAGGTTGTTCTGCTATAATATAATATAATATTATATAATATATAATATAATATGCAAGGCCTTACTTGAAAAAGATGCTGTCTGGAGGGGAGCACACGTTGCTCTAAGACCTGTTTATAAAACACAGCGCTGACTGTGTTTTTCCAGATGTGCAAGCCAGACTGGATGGGGCCTCTCCTCTTTAGTCTGGCAGACACAGCATCCATGTTTTCCAGAGAGAACAGTTTTCAACTTTGTCTCCAACCAATTCAGTGAGCTTTAGCTGTAATGTCATTATAGAGCCTTAACCTGCATTTGTGGATAGCACGGTGAACTGAGATAGCACACAGTGATTTCTGGAAGCGCTTTTGAGTACGTGCAGTGATTTCCGTAACAGAATCATACCTGTTTTTAATGCAGTGCCCGCAGGTCCAAAGATCATCTGCAGCCAGTGGAGATTTTTGACCCTGTCACTTACGTACAGAGATTTCTCCAAATTCTTAGGATATTTAAAAAAAAGTATGTACTGTACATGGTGATGTAGTCAATGTGTTACAATGTGTCTTACAGCCGCAACTGTTTTAGAAATGTGTTGGTGCCATTAACTTTAAAATAAGCAAATATCTTTCTTAAAATATAACATTTGATATGCTTTCTGCAGCACGTTCTCATGGCAACACGTATCATACTGACACGTGTGACAAATTGTCGGTATGTTATGTGTTCAGAGGCATGAGAGCCAGATGGAATGAATCTTTACTTTCTCATCATGAATCGCTTTAGATTACACTGTGAGCGGGTTAAGGTTATGGTGAGGGCTCCAATGGAGGACTGGAGCCTCAGTTCAAAGCGTCGATTATCACCGCGAGTGCGTTCTATTAATTTTAATTGAGAACCTGTAGCGCTTCATAACGACATGGAAAGGTACTTTTCCCGTTACTATGAGACGTGTCGGACAGTGGGAATGGGCATGCTCTGGCTCTATTGTAAACAAGATATGGATTAATGAGATTTGTAAACAATTGTTTTCAGTTTTTATTTACATTTGACAGTTTTTCCAACTTTATCAGGAATTGTATTTGTATTTCCAAAGCATTTTCTGGCTTATGACACTTCCCCTCTTGTGGCCAGATGCTGCACATAAATTCCCAGCCTTATTCGTGATGGAAAATAATGTTCAAATTTAGTCCCAAATCCATGATAGATGAAACAGAAAAGCAAAAGTGAAATCATTAATTAGTTATTACTTTTGTGAATATGATTTTCTCTATTGAAAAAAAGAAATACAGTGGAAACCAGGGCCTTAAGAGTCTTTAAACTTGGGGCCAAGAGATCCTTTTTACAAATGAAATACAGCTTCAATCCGATAAATCTGACACCGACAGAGCCTAACAGTGGTTAGCTCGGAGCAGCTGTTTAGCTCATAGCGAATCAGTCACTCTTAAAAATGTTATTGCAAAAAAAAGAAACTTTAACTCATGCGGTGTGATGGTACGTTTTAAGCCTGTTTCATGGATGCTTCTGATTGGAGGTCTGCAAGCTTTAATGTTCATATGAAAGGCTAAGACTGACATGAAAAAACGCTGAAGCGTTAACGGACTTAAATAGTAGCACTGTAGTTTTAATTATCAAAGGACTATTACTCACTGTTATTGTGAACTTTTATTCAGAGCTAGAACTCAACATATAATTAGATTAGTGGAGTTTTCGGTTCACAACACGACCTTGTTGAGCTGTAGCAGACTCCAGGCAGCAGGTGAAAGAGATTTCAAGTGAAAATTTGTTGAATGTTACTAAGAAAATAAGAGAAAAAAATGCTGCGAAAAACATTTGTTGCTGCTGATGATGGTGAAAGTATTAATATAAGAAAATGTTTTCTGTGTATTTGTGTTTGTATTTGATAAAACAGAGAATGTGTGTTATTTACTTAAGACTGCAAATACAGGATGTGAAATGAACCCGTCTGCTGCTCTATAATAGTCTGGAGCAATTTCACTGAGGCCTTGACTGGGTCACCTCTGTTCCTCTAATTCTTATGCCCGTGGGATTTGTGGGATTCTTAGTTATTGTGAATATCTGACAACTTTACTTTCTACGCCATTTGAATCTTCTCCTCTAAAACCCAGCTAGACGTCTATTTCAGTTATGTTGCTGTTTGCTGTACAGCTTTTGTCTCTTTGTGTTTCATGTCTTTGTGTTTCATGAAGACTGCATGTAATACAGTCTTCAGATATTTTATTAGAAACATGAAGGTCACCCAGCGTTTGTGTTTCTTCCGCAGCATCCGAACTGAGATGAGGTCCGTTCACCAGAACATGGGCTATTGCCCCCAGTTTGATGCTCTCGATGAGCTGCTGACTGGACGAGAGCATCTGGAATTTTACGCCCGGCTACGAGGGGTACCGGCAAGCGAGGTCGCCATGGTAATCTTCTTAATTGAAGCCTTTGTTTCACTCCTGGCTAATGGTGTGCATCACCACATCTGCACCTTGGCTGGTACCAAGTGTAGACTAGATAGAAAGCTATTGAAACAGCATCACTATATTTATTTTGTTTGTTTGTTTGTTTGTTTGTTTGTTTGTTTGTTTGCTGCATCGAGCAGAGTGCATCTAAAATGCATGTAGGGCAAAGTGAAGTACATGTCAAAGTGATAGATAACCTCTATGAGAGAAGCCATACATAATGAAAAATGGCCAGTAGAAGAAAAGGAGCAGTTTGTGGGTTATGGCTCTGCATTATTCACAATGCCCAGTGGTGTGGCCCGCCCTAGGCGGCCTCCCCGCACTCCTCACACTGCCCGCTTCTCCAGCACTCAGATCAAAAGAGGAAAAGGCTGCTGGTGACCATAGGCCTCAGACCTGGTGCCAGGGCTTTGATGCCTTAGCTTCAGTGCACAGTTATGTGCGGCTAACAAAGCTCTTAACTTCGCTGCAAAAATTTCCTCACTGCAAATTCTTATTTTTTTTATTTTTATTTTTTGCAATGGCAAGACATCATCCAAACAGAGTCCCCGTGCCTTATTTGCATAATCAATAAACAAATGCATCCACGTTCATGAAAGGAATTCATTGGGTCCTGCAGCCTTCATTTAGTGCAGCATGCACATCCACAGCTCTGGCCAGGCTCCTGCTTTCTTGTGTTTGATGAGATGTTGTTGAAAACAGTAAAGTACCTCCACAGACCTGCCATTAACGTCTCACGGTGACACCAGCTGTCACGCCCTGTCCTTGAAAAACCACACAGCTCACATATAATTGTCAAAATATCATCCATCACGCTATCATGAGTCCAGTGATGGGGCTCAGGTGAACACTCCTCTCAACACCACAATGGCTGCTCTGTTTTCTCTCCTCCATAGGTGGCTGAGTGGGGGGTCCAGAAGTTGGGGCTAGCCAAATATTCCAACAAATCAGCAGGAACCTACAGCGGCGGGAACAAGCGCAAACTTTCTACAGCGATAGCCCTGATCGGCTGTCCTCCAGTGATTTTTCTGGTGAGATTCAGCTTTATTGATATTGTGTATGTGGTGTACAGCATAAGCTGTTTTCTCTTTAAATACACACATGCAGCAGCGTGAATACGACAGGTTAGAACGTCTAGTAAAAGAAGAAAGAATAAGATACTGATCAGACTTGCAAACCATTACTGAAGGATTTTTTAAGTACATTAATTGTGGATGAGCAGTGTGTGCATCTCCGAGGTCACTCAGTGGTCGTGTTTTAATTCAATTTCATTTTCCGGGAAAAAGCACCGGTCCTTTTGGAAAAATGTGGAGCAGACAGAATTGTGTTTGCACATATTAAGTCCTTCTTCATCAGATCTTAAAACCGAGAGCCAACACATTTTCTCACCCATGGAAAAATAATGGAGGAGTGACCCAGAATGTGCCGCGCCGCGTGTTTTCAATTTATGTGTATTAGGAAGTCATGCCGTGGCATTATGAGGGACAAACTTCAGCGGCCTTAAGCACTTGGAGCTTCACACGGGCTTGCTTAATTAAAAACCTTTCATTATGATTTTTGCAAAGCTTCTGCAACTCAGTCAGCGTATCACATGGTCTGATGTGATTTCCTGAGCTTTGATGGCAAAATAAAATGTAAAAATCTACACTTTAATGCCTGTTTTCGCCCTCCTTCCCCCCAAAAATGTCTCCAACTATTCAACATTATTCCTGTTTCATTTGCTGCCCGTCAGCTGTAATTAACACATTACTTTGTTTCATTTGCAGCAGTTCATTGGATTACGGTGCTAATAATAATTTTATTTAAGTAATGACTCCATCCATGTTAAATTAAAGATGTAAAGGAGTAATCTTTCCAGACGTTTCTGCCTCAATTTGTAAGCTATCAAGCTGCACTGTGCTAAACCTTGAGCCAGGCTAGCCTCCGTTCCAAGTCAGCGGGGGACGCTGTGTTGTCAGCTCCCCGTGTCAATTTCGCCACTGCGCGCGAGCCCAATGAGCCCAGGCAGCCTTGAGGCAGCGCCACATACAGTTTGCACGGGGACACATTGGGCACGGCGACGGAAATGCCCGTGGGATTTGTGGGATTCTGCTAGCGAGGATAGAACCAGGCGCGGAACGAAGCCAGCCTGTGGACCGAGTACTGTCGATGTCTAATCAGGCATGGACAGACAAGCCCCGAGGAAAAAGAACCAGCGAGTGACTGAGATGTGTGAGCGTGCACCGTGCTGCGCTGGTGTGTGCTTCATGTTTATGCTCCCATCATGTGAACATGGGTCTGGTCAGAATTCGCCTTTGTAGTGCAGAGCTTATATAGCTCTCGGTTGCGCTGAGCAGATTCAGCGGCCTTCGGCACAGATTTGACCACAGCTCCAAAAATATTCCCTCTCGCGATGTTTTGATGATGATGATCGGAAAGAGCTTTGTGATACTAGAGCCTAAAAATCCATGTGATTTTTTTTCCCCCCCTTTTCATTTCATCACTTCTCTGAAATCACACCGATCCACAGCTTACCTGCTTGCATACACTGCCTGACAGCTCATTCTTAAAAGAAGCGCCTGGGTGGAACTGACTGAAAGCTTTTCGTTCATTGCAGGATGAGCCGACCACCGGGATGGACCCCAAAGCCCGACGCTTCCTGTGGGACTGCATCCTGAGCGTCATCAGAGAGGGACGCTCAGTCGTTCTCACATCACACAGGTGCAACATCGTCATCTATCGATTCTTATTCCTTTATTTATTGGATGCATTCACACCAAAATGGAGTCAAAATATTTTGACTCTTCACCAGGGAAAGCACAGCACCCAAACAGTCCACCAATGAAAGCGAGCTATAAATATTGTAATTATAATTGATTGGAGCCACACTTTAGTTGAAAGGTATTGTTTCCTGTGTGGCAGTTAATATTGGCTGCCAGAAACACACTGGCTGCTATAAAGCAGTCATGAAGCGTGAGGGCATATTGACTGACTGCCGCTTTTTTTTCTTCTTTTTTCACCTCTGTGAAAAGAGAAACCGTCAATATCAGTGCTGGAGTCTTTTCATTGTCCAAGGCTTCCCGGAGCAAAGTTAAGTTTACTAAGTATTTCTTCTGTAGCGCTGTCCACCAATTTAAGATATGGCGGAGTTTTTTCCTGTCTTTTCTTTTAGCAAAGTTGAAAAATTAAAAGCCATATTTCTCCGGGAAACCCACAACGTTGACGGCCCGAGTCGATATGGAACATTTAACAATTTGCTGCCTGTTTGTTTGACCGTTTACCAAACCCGAGTCGTATGTGAGGCTGGCAGGCAGCGCCTGTGGAATGAATGATTCTTATTACACGTGCTGCTTTCATGGAGCGTTTGGCGTTTGTCGTCCCGGGCACGCCGGCTGAGCTGCATCCAATCGTCCATGTCATGACCAGGTGGTTTTGTTTTGTTAAGTGGCGCGCTCGCCAGGTTTTTACAAAGTCATAATCCTAATTGCGTCATTCCTCAGAAAGGCATCGCAGGTTCTGCCCCGGATACAAATGACTCGTGCTCACTCGCGACGCCGAGCGAGATAAAAAATTAGAGGGTGAGAACTACAGATGGGCCCTTCGTCTCCCTCTAATTACTGAATTTGCTGTACGCTTTAGATGCTCAAATTTGAACTGTGAGTCAACATGAGTCGGTGAGTGAAGGTGTGAGTCCACGTGGTCCAAAACAAGAGCACTCAGAGAGCGCAGCCACCTCTGAAAGGAAGGGGCTGTACTTAAACTTTGATGTTTTAAGCTGATGTCAGCATTGGTTATATGGAGATCCCCAATAATGACAACTGCATCGTTTTCATGAATCATTTGTGCTGATGTCAGGATTGTTAATGGAAACCTAGTGTAGTATATTAAACTTTTTGTGAAGTCGTATAATGTTGCATTAAAAAATAGCATTTTAAAGAGTTCAAACAAAGAAAGTGCTCATGTCCTCCAATCACTATTATATTGCTTTAAAGTTTAGAGATGATCAAATAGAAACTAAAGCTTTTAATTAATTTGTGTGATCCTGACCTTTGACCTGTGCCCTTGAATCATTATTTTCTTATCTTCACCCATATGGTTGGAGCAGAGTTGGCTGAAATCTTTTGCTTCTATAAGCTGTAAAAACCTGAGATTTTAAGACTGATTCATGAAGTGAGTAATTTTTTAAAAATCTCTGACATCACTGTGACGTTGTACAGCTCTCTCCATGCCCTTTCATATGATATATTACTCAATATGGTTTCTCAATATATTCTTTTAAAGATGATCCTTAAAAAATTTTCACCAAAATTAACCAGCTCGAGCTGTTTTTGGCATCCACCATCACACAAAATTTTAACGTGATATCTTGAAAACTGTGGACGCTAAACTGCTTTGGGGAAGGAAAACTTGAAGTCTTTCTATTATAAAAACATTTAACCTTAAATGGAGCAGGTTTCAGAAGTTAAAGACATAGACAAAGGCATCTGGATTTTTTGCAATTATTTGTCTTTGCTACTTCACGAGTCTCCTCTCTTTCTTTCAATAGCATGGAGGAGTGTGAAGCGTTGTGCACACGCATGGCCATCATGGTAAATGGTCGCTTCAAGTGCCTCGGGAGCATCCAGCATCTGAAGAGCAGGTAAGGATGTTTTGTGTTTCTTTGCCACTAAAACAAAGAAGAGGAGAAAGAAATAAACCGCAAAAATCTTTGAAGTAACTTGAGTTGAGATGAAAGAAATCCCTGTCTCCCACTGAGGCACTCTGTTATTTATACTGTGTATATAAATAACACAAAACTGTGTGTATTGATAATAAAAAGAATATAGGAGTAGATTTAAGTTTTTAAGGAAGAAGGAGAAACCTTGCTTATAATACTTGGATTGTTTCATTAAGAAGGCGCTTAAGAGGAGAGCCACAAACATGAACATTCGCTCTCGTGCTGCGATGCTACAAATGTTAGGCAGCATGTTCGTGAGGGTGCTGCTAGTTAACAGGGCTGACCGTACTGATGATACTAAAACTTCAGTGTTGATAGCTGTAATGCATCTAATGTATGATAATCTGAAAAATTAGTGTGTGACTGCAGTTTGTATAGTTAAGGCTACAAACTCTGTCACTGTCTTCATGCATCATAATTTTGCCAAAAAAGACGAAACGCAATACACCAAGTCATGGATGATTTGACTGACAGATTATAGATATGACAGAAATACTGTTACTGTGATTGTTTTTCATTCCATCATAAATGTGAAATGACTCATTTGTAATATGTTTTATTTGCTTAGTTAATCATGTTTGAATTAGCAGGTAAATGTTGTGGTAAAAATAAACACATGTTAATGCCGTAAACGACCCATAGCCGTAGAGTTCCAGCATGTGGTGACGTCCTTCTCTTCTCATCGCCTTCATTTCATACCTTGATGTAGTCTTTCTCTTTTAAATTTTCTCCATATAAGCACTCATCAGCCACTTCTTTAGGTATACCCTTTCAGTTGCTTGTGCAAATATCCAATTAGCCAACCACATGCTCGCAACTTAATGCATTTAGGCATGCAGCCATGGTTAAGACGGGATGCTGAAGTTAATCCTGAGCGTGAGAATGGAGGAGAATGGTGATTGAAGAGAGTTGTTGGTCCTGAGTGTTTCATAAACTGCTGATCTCGTGGGATATTTCCACACAGCCATCTCTAGGGTTTACAGAGTCTGAAAATGAGAACATATTCACTGAGTAGAAGTTCTGCCGCTTGATATCAGACAGCAGAAGAATATGGACAGACTGCTTTAAGCTGAGATCAAGCAAGTAATTTCTCAAATAAACACTTATTTTAACCTCTCCAAATGTCACCAAAATTGGACAACAGAAGGTTACAGAAACGTTTCCTGATGTGATGATTCTCAATTTCTGCTGCCGTGAATTTGGCATAAAAAACATGAAAGCATCATGTTATTGGCGTAATGGTATGTTGTACCATCTTCTGATGGCTGCTTCCAGCATGATAACTGTGCACAGTGTTACAAAGCTTAGATCATCTCAAAATGGTTCACTGTACTCACAGTCATCCAATAGCGCACTTTGGCATGTAGTGGAAGAGGAGATTCACATCGTGGATGTGCAGCACCTGTGTGATGCTGTCATGTCAGTATGGACCAAAATCATGCTGTGAAGAACTGAGGCTAATATGAAGGCAAAGGGGGTCCAAAGTGGCACTGACAAGGTATAGGTGTAGAAAACATGGCTGAGTATATACACATCTGTGATCATGATCATGATGATATTTACCCATAGTAACTGTGAAAGCTCTAACCTCATATATTCAGACGTTTATTTTCCATATTGGCTGCACTGTATTGATTTCACCTGAACAGACGCAGTCACGTATGCAGGGCTGGCATTTCCGTTCCAGATCTTTCGCCATTACCTCAAATTCATGTTTGTTTCTCTTCTCACACATGAATTCTGTTTCCGTCGTTCTGTCCTTATTCACAGCGTGAATTGATATTCGTCAGGGCTTTTAATGGGTTTCTTACATCTCTCCATCATAGATATCCCCTGCTGTTAACTCTTAGCGCTCAGGTCTGCTCTCTGATATTCATCTGACATTTTCCAAGTCCAGCACGTACGCCCCGAGCCCTGCATGTAACAGTGAGGCCAATCCATTACCTTAGCTACAGTGTTGTGACATTATTATTACCACTCCTTTGTGCAAGCTGGTAACTGGAAGAACATTACAAACACACACACACAAGCACTGCATTCATGACAGGAATATGTCGTGGCAATCTCTGGGTGCAGGGAAAGATCAATACACCTGGGATGAGGGGTGGAGCAGACCATTTTTCAAGTTGTCCGGGGGATTAGCAGAAACGCCTGCAGGAGCAAGGAGGGGTCACCGGTGTCAAGGGTATTTCCTATCAAGTATGTTAATGTCATACAAAACATCTGGGCTTTTAGATCAGGGAGGGAATAGGTAGATTATACATGGTGATTAAAAAAAAGAGTGAGAATTGGGGGTGATAGGAGCTAAGAGGCAGAGGACCGGAGAGGGAGAGCAATCAGGCCCGCCCAGATGTTCGTTGATCCTGCGTGTCAATTGCATCCTGTCGGTAGGGGCACGGGCAGGGTGGGGTAAATAATGCATGAACTGCACAGGAAGTATAGGACGGGTAAGAGCCTCCAGAGCATGGGTGGAGTCTGGAGAGGGGATGGACGAGGGATGAGGACAGAGGACTAACACGTGTCCTACTTAACTCCACGTGATATCAGGTAAAAGGGACTCACTTCACAAGACAAGCGAACGAGAGGAAAGTCAGATAAGCGTGACGTCTGCCTTTTTTATTGGGTGTGGGGGGGCACTTTTATTTTAGATCTCACATGGACAATTTACATGCCGCTGAAATGCTATCGCTCAGTTCTCGCCACGCAGTGAATAATTTCTAATTAAGCATCCCTATCTCCGCTGCGCTTGCTGTAATTAATGTTTCATGAGGTGTGGGACCCCGTTAATGACTGAAAAGGCAATTAAGGAATGTCTTCTCTGTTTTCTTTTCTCGTCACTATCCTGCCACATGTTTGTGCTGTCATGTTTTGAGACACACACACACACACACACACACACACAACTCACCCTTGAATAGCCATCATTTTGTATATGCCTCCACATTCTGGCTCTAATGGGGAAATGAAGGGGCTGTTTTTCACAAGTGCACAAGCAGCTGCCAGTCAGACCAGCGGGGGTTGAAGTACGGGGTGGGGTGGGGACATTATAATGGTGGTGCACGCAGTTGTCACACGGCGCGAGCGGATGACCTGCAAATCTGGGGGGGTGGAGGGAGCTCCTTCTTCCCTGTCCCATTTTCCCATCTCTTTTTCATCACAAACCCTTGAGAGGAGTGCAGATCTCTCTCCACAGGGGCAGCACTCACATTTTGACCCCCTGTTGCTCGCATGTAATACATGCTCACCCCTACCACATTCTCAACTCTTGCTCCCACCCGTCACCTCCCCTGACTGACTCTTCTCCTTCAGAAGCCTCTCACCCTATTACTCTTATTTATTCCCGACTCTCTACAAAGGTGGCGAGGCTTTCAGGCCAGTCATCCAAGTCCTTGTTAGCACTGCCCCCTTTAGTTCGACAGCACGCGTGTATTTATCACACAGATGCCCTTCTGCTGCTTCAACAGCAACACCCCCCCACCCTTCCCGCACCCACTCCTGCCTTTGGCATATTAGTCAACCCTCAAATGAGCGAAAATGGCCCATTTTAGACCACTAGAGACGTAGTCAGTGTGCGAGAGGAGATGAAGATTCGGTAGGGTGGTGCGTTTCAGAGAAATAGGGCAGCCATCTCGAGTAGCCTCTCTATTATCTTCCACCATGGGTGTTAAAAACACCCTGTCTTTTTTTTTCTTTAACCTGCCCTGGCATTGAGCCGCTCAAATCAATCACACTTCTAGAAATTTATGAAAGGCTGATGGGCATGGGGAGAAATAAACAAGTATAAAATGCACAAGGGGCTGTAAATAGGGCTTCAGTCTAGCAGCATGCTAGTCTGAAGGTTCCCAGGTGTTAAGTAAACCCAAATGAAGTGGAGGAACCAATAAAAGCAGCTTCAAAGCTCCCCTATAATCTTGTCAGTGAGGAAGGACACCCACTAGCCTTTGCAGGATTTTCCACTGATTGATATCATTCATATCCCCACTTCACCGAGTAGCTGCGGTAAGCACACCCCACAGCCTCCAGTCTGATTTTCTCCTTGCTTAAAGCACATCATGAAATAAAAGTAGGATGCAAAGTGACTTAAATGCATTAAGGTAATGTGCTTCGAGCGTTGAGGAGTTTTTTACAAGAGCCGTGTAGAAAAGTTTGGATCCATCCCCCCACCCGAAGTTGACGTTAAGAGAAGTCCAATAAACTCGCCTCCCACTCACTCTGTGTCAGCTCTGCAGGTGTGCCATTAACTAAATAGTTTACGGCTTTTAAGTGCATGTCACCCGCAGAGATGAATGACAAAATAATTCTCTTTACGGTGTACAGTGCGTCGCCAGTGCAGGTGTAATTTAGCCTGCCAGAACATTGGCGGTCACAGATGAGGTGCAGTATACGTCCCATCTATATGTATTTGTTCAAGATTAGCAACATTTGATTGTGGATTGATAGCAAATAACCAAAAGTGATGAATTGCACAGGTGACGCTTTTATCAATATTATTAATTTCGGTTTATGAAGCTCATGCTTATTGAAAATGCAGTAGTCATAACTTTTACAAGCCACAGGATGGCCTTCATATGAGCCCATGCCAGTGCCTTGTAAATACATCTTAGATATATTATGCCATGCAATCACACAGGTAAATTAAAGTAACACCAAAGGTGACCTTGTGAGTTCATTTACAGTTCCATAATTTACTCTAAGACTCGGCTACAGTAACTTTAAGTGATTCACAACTCAATAGTTATCTTATCTTGGGCCTTCCTTTTGAGGCAAC